GACTAGCTCAGGTCACAGCAATGCTGCCCAAATCACCATATCCTTTCCTCACATCGATCTCATGTGGTCGAAGTCTTATGACAACCTCTTCACTCTTGAGCAACCTGAACACAAGAAATCAGGCTGCGCCTATTCATTGCTTGTATCATTGTTGTATTAATTGTACAGTTGTATTGTTATGCCATAATTGTTATATAATTATGATAAACGGTTTAATTACCCAAGTTTGAGGTTTCCGGCATTGTGACTACCACTTACAAGAAGTCCCGCGTGGCATACACAAAGGCGAGCAGCAAATTCCGACCGAATCATAACTACTTGGTATTCCTATATAATCGAGCCGTCCCACCATAGAAAAATATATGCGAGCCAAGGAAAGATCAGTCGAATTGCAATTGCTTTGGAAGCAGCGTTATTCTTTATGAAGACAAGCCATCGAACTATCCTGAGAAATCTATATTTCCATATATCTTTCCAGGTTTCTACAGTATCCCTTGCTGTTTTGAGCACGGCAGAGTGTAAACAAAGTTTTATTCGCTCCGACAACAATTACATCTGTTATGATGTTTATAGTGGCCTTAGTTCAAGAAATTTCAAGTGTTCGAATGCGTGAGCTGTTTCGGCGCATTACATATGAAGGACATTAAAGAATTGAATACAAAATGCACCAGATTCTTCTTCTGTATAATTAGCCCTTAATCACAAGGAAGGGAGAGATCGAAAACGCTCGGATTTCTTTGAAGATTTTTTCCGTGTAGTTTCAGCACAAAGTAGTACAGCCAAACACTCACCAAGATTTACAGCTGTAAGAGTCATCAAATGAGTGTAGTTCTTCAACATGGGGTCGTCAAGTCCCATAAGATAGGGCCAACGCGAACCCACGCCCCATTTCGGTTGATCTAGCTGAACAGGCTACCTTAAGCTCCTTATAGTTTGGACATTATTTCTAAGTCAGCATTCATATGAACAAATTTTCTAACGTTCGATTGCCTGTGTATTACTACTCACGAAAAATCATGCTGGCTATAGCACTATCCGTTCTTGGGTTGAGGATAACAAAAAAAAGGGAGAAAACAAAAAAAAACGTATGGCATTGGTTTGGATAATTCTATGCATTTATTTATTACTTCACCTCGATGACACTGTGGGAGCTGTTTGCCGGGTCATGAGTGACAGCCAATTCAAGGATCACTGCGTTGACTCCAGTTTTATTCATCACAAACGCTAACTGCTCTTCCCATGAATGATCCCACTCTGTCCAATCGTTTCCTGTAATTCTATAGCATGTAATTCGCAAATTTCTCACTTTATTGTAAAGATGTGTGAAGATCTCGCTATTTCAAAAGTCTTTAATGCTTAGAGTAACTTCACAACACTTCAGTCTAGTAGCAAAGCATCGAGGAATATGTGTAACGCGCTGATTAGTGCTGTCCTAGAATATAGGTTGCCGTTGCTTCAATCCCACTCCTCAAGGCTGATTAAGCCCGCCATCCCTCCGTTGGTCGGCAAACTAATAGCAGATTCGATAACGAAGGGTGTTAGCAGCAGCCGCACAGAGTATTACATGGGCGAGGACTGAACTGACAGTTCGAAAAAACAGAAAAACATCGAATTATCAATCATTGCCGAGGTTAACAGAAAGTCGGTCTTGGTAATAGCAGATTTGTCTAGGGAAGGATAAAAACACTGACTTGCTACACTATACTCTTGTTGAGCAAAGACGAGGTGTTACTTTAATCTTTACTGACGGAAAAGCTGAGGTTTCCCCAGATTTGGCCTTCTTCAGAGCCTGGAAAGGTCAAGTTGACTGCAACCTACTGAGTGAAACAACCCCGTAACCAAATAGGGAAAATACTAAACGTGTTGGCTCATTAAGAAAATAATGTAGTTCAATGACGAGGGTAACAGAAAGTCGGCCCGGAAATTTCTAATTCTTCGTATTCTTGTTGAGCAAACGCGAGGTGTTACTTTATTAGATATTTGTAAAAGTAACACTTCGCGTTTGCTCAACACTGAGAATACTTGATCAATGCCGAGGTTAATAGAAAGTCGGTCGTGGGAAATTTTTAAGTTGATACATTAGTGTGCTCCCGCAGGTCATTATATAGGCTAGATATGCATTCAATAATCCCTTCAAATGGAGACCAATACATTGCATATCCATCAGAGACGGACTAGCGCCCTAACGCTCTATTCTTCTATGCTCTTATTCAAGGTGTTGTTAAGAGATGCATAAGTGATGTAATATGAAATAACCTTTTAATGCTGGCCAACCTCCAACCCAAGCGATGATGTCTTTGATGGCGGTTAGTCCAGTGTTTTCTAATTCATCTGATGACAAAGATTACAAACTGTTATGAATACAAAGGAGTATCTTTGCCCATAATAAAGCTTACCTTCATCAAGGCACTTCTGATAGTAGCCTTTAGCTAATCGATCCCATTTCGAGTCATTATCCACTATTGGCATCTAGACAAAGAAAACTATTAAACAGAAGAAACTTTCTACTTGGTAGCAAATCTAATATGGATTTTAAATCTTTTAAGCAAATTGCTAAATAGTCTCATCTTCCATCTACATTTTCCAACATCGAAAATATCTAATAGTTAGAAAAATCTGAATAAAAAAATATTCTAAAGTTGATGTTAAGTTAAGACCACAGCGAAGCTGAGATATCGGCAAAACTTGGACCCCTGGCCAGATCGAGTCACGATTACCCTTGATGCGAATTACAAGCACAGCGACGCTGAGATATTCGCAAAACTCGGACCCCAGGCCAGATTGAACAACGATTTTCAGATCGAACAAAATTACAGCAGGCAGAAAATAAAAGATTAATATCGATGTTAAGTTGTTAAGGATAGCGGCATTGATTGTAGGAAATAAAGCTCTTCATAGATTTCTTCATAGATAAGTAGGTTCATCATTAAAATTACTTTTCTTAACCAATTTCGAAGTTTTCGGCGCTTATGAAAGCACGAGGAGAAACAACATAAAGACAGTAAGGAAAGCCAAAAGAAAAAATCTTCTCCCCAGGAGAAAGGAAAGCATTCTCCATAGATTCGCACGCTCATAATTTTCATTAACATAAAGAAATGGACGAAAAATGACGAAAAATTGCCAACTTAGGGATTCAGTATTCAATATAGTTTTATCACTGGTTAGGTACACTGGTTTTTATTAATAAGAGGTTATATCAACACCGCTACTATTGAATTAGTGGGAGCCTTTTGGTCTCCTTCGTATATCATTATTGCCCACTGGATCGCATTTGGCTCTCGGGGCACGAAGGGCAATGGACTTTTGTATGAATAAAGAATACCTTGTATAAAAATAAACCAAATGCCACGACCGACTTTCTATTAACCTCGGCATTGATCAAGTAATTTTCTTCGTATTTTTGTTGAGCAAACACGAGGTGTTATTATTCTTTGTTCACGATTAAGCTGACGTTTCGGCGGATTTCGCCTTCCTCAGAGCCTGGAAAGGTCAAGTTGATAGCAATCTACTCGGCCAGACGCCTCCATAACCAAACAAAGAAACTCCAAACCAAGATTTTAATCACGTTGAACACAGCTTTGCAAACTCACCGCTTCCTATGAGGTTTCCACTAAGTATGTCACGTAGAGACCAACCGCACAGAAATCACATGGAAGCATAATGTGCCCCTCACATCAGAAAAGCAGTTTTATATACTGCCCTATATCACGCGTGATAATGAGGCATTCTTCCCTGCGGTTCATTTTCGGATTTTTGGAATTAATCCAGAGTGCCTCGAGAGTTTTTCGCGCCTGTGTTCTTGATTCGCGTGCGAGGATCGTGACACATACTTCGAAGTCGTCCCCGTTATGTCTCTGGGTCCTATGCGTGCCTAGCGGGGTATTTGGTCTATTTTTGCCGGCTAGGTGTTCTTTCATGCGGACACAGAGGGGTCTACCCGTTTCGCCAATGTATTCGTCACCGCACGTCTTACAGGAGATCAGATAAACTATACCCGAGCTCATGCAATCACCGTCTCTACCACTGGGGCAGATCATGCAATTTTGAGCTGCACACAGACGGTCATATAGGCGGTTACAAACTAGCTGGCGCTTAAGATTACTCGGTGGTATTTCAACTACGCTTACCGAATTCTCTAAGCCCGCCCTTCTCAAGTAGCGTTTTATAGCTGTACTTATATCATTTGAGATGAAGGGTAGGATAAACGGGACCCTTCTATCGCTAGAGTTGTCGTTTGGAGGCCTACGATTTCCTCTACACCTATCCTGAGCTACAGTTTCGTAGCCATTAGAAATGGCTATTTGCCGTGCCAAGTTCCGGGACTCCTCTCTCTGCTCTCTTCCCGTGCACACGTTGGTTGCTGTTCGCAACATGTTTCTTATAAGCGCCCTTTTCGTGTGAGATGGGTGAGAGGAGAGGTAATGAACCAAGATGTGTTCACTACTCGGCTTTCGTAATGTAGCCAGTTCAAAAATGGAAGCCATTTTTTCTTTCGGCTTTTCTCGGGTGAACTTGATATACTCTGACTGTGCGTTTAACAATTCGAAGCATTTGTCCAATTCCTCTTGTGTTGAGCAAAGGACAAAGCAGTCGTCTACATACCTACAGTAGAGTAGCGGCCCGAGATCAGTCACCGGTGCTTCCACCTTAGACATAAATGCAATGGCAAGGCTTGGAGCCGTTGTCCCATTGCCAACCCTCTTGTTTGAGCGTAGTACTTTCCAGACCATCTGAAGATTGAGCAGCTCAAGCATTCTTTTAAGAGTGCCATCAGGTGATCTATCCTGAAGCCATACATGTTTATTTCTCCTTCGTGTTGTGTAAGGAGTTCGAATATGGCTTGCATTGAATAGTAAACCAAATGCTCCGCTAGGCGCGCATATGACACAGAAATATAACGGGGAGGATTTTGAAGCAGAAGTTACCATCGCAAAAGAATCGAAAACACCACCGCGCAAAAGACGCGTGGTATTCTGGATAAATTCCAAGAATCCGAAAATAAACTGCAAGGAGAGAGATTTTAATGTGAGAAGCCCATTACGCTTCCATGTGAGCTCTGTGCGATTGATATTAACTTGACATACTCAGTGGGAGACCTATGCGAAGCTCTGAATGTACTAGGAAGTTATTTTGTTTCTAATGCGATTAAAATCCTTGTTTAGCACATTCTCTGTTTGGTCACTGAGGTGTTTGGCAGGGTAGATTGCAGTCAACTTGACCTTTCCAAGCACTGAGGAAGGCGAAATCCGTCGAAAATGTCAGCTTTATAATAATGAGCTGTAAAATAACTTTTCACGCCTGCTCAATAAGAACATAGAAAATTGTAATGATATTGAGATAACCACAACGTTGCTGAGATATTTGTAAAACTCTGGACCGCAGGTGTCTATGGTGGGGGAAGAAAAC